ATTAAAAAAAAAAAAGGATCATCTGGGGAGTTGAACCCAGTTCTGCAGGACTATACGATGATGGTGAGCGTCCCTATCTCACTATGCCACGTCTTGTCTTGGCGTTCAAGGCCTGCCTGGGAGAATCCTCAGAAAGTAAGGCTGGCTTAAAGACCCACCCACAGTGCGCTCTAAATTGACTACCTTTCCTACGGTTTCAGACCCACTCCAAATCTGCTGTTCGAAATGGCAAGAAGCATAGAGGTCCGGTGCCTGCCTGGCACCAGGAAGGCTGAGGGAACCTGGGCCCTGACGTAGCCCAGATAGAATGACCCTCTTCACGGACCCTTTATCTATAGGAAATAAAACTCCCTTCTCATCACCACTTCAAAAGGGACACAAAGTCAGAGCACCTCAGACTTTGGAAGGATTCAGAGTTCTTTTGCTCCAGGGGTTATGAACTTCAGTGCCCCCAGCCCGGGGAGGTAAGTGAACAAGGGAAGCACCCAGGAGCAAGCTCAGGCAAACCACCAGCCAGTCGTGTTGGCTCTGTGGCGCTACCTCGACTCAGCTTCCGTGGATGGCTGCTTTGCAGACACGCAGGCCCGGGCTGCCCATCATGCACTTTTTCAACAGGCCCTGAAATCTGGACTTCTCTATGAGATCTCCTGATTGTTAAGAATTCATTTAAGAAAAAGATACCCAACACAACGAAGACCCAAAAGATGTATGAGGTGGCTTCAAACATCTGTGGAAAATGAGTTAGGAAATGATGGATTTTTCCCTCGTAAGCTCCTGGAAGCCCTCTCGAGTTTGCAAGCAGCCCTGACGTACAGATTTCATTGCACAACCTTGACAAAGGATGTTCCTCATTGAGAAGTGAGGAAACGCAGCCCCGAGAGCTAAGGCGAACTCAGGCAGTCACCTTTTTTGACAGACACATAGAAAGCTGTGTGTATGTGTGTGTGTTCTTATAGCATTTACATTTTATAAATATATATCAATATATACTTACAGTATTTCTATTTTACAGTTATAGTACATTTATAGTTATATACATATATACGTATGTATTTTTAAAAAAATATGTACACATGATTTTGGAATATTTGCCGTTATTAAATGTCCCACCAACTCTGCGAGTGTTAATATTTACACATTGGAAGTGGAATGCAATTAAAACACACATATACACACTCAAATCAAACGATACTGTGGTACCCACCTCCCTCAATAAAAACCCACATTAAACCTAAACCCCCAATTAAATGATAAGTAGAGAAGAAAGCTCTGTACTTACGGTAAATGACAGAAATGATGAAAACAAAGTCCCTTCGTCATATCGGGATAATTTTGCCAGGACTCCTTCCAAGATAGTAACAAACTAGAGAAGCAGCAAAGAAGAAGGAGAGACTGATGACTTTGAACTCAATAGCCCACCCCATGGAGCGACTCTTTCCAAGCGCACAGAGACGGGATTGAGCCTCTGCTCATTGCGGTACTCTGGGATTCAATTCCAGACTTCGGGGGAAAAGAGGAGATTGCCTTTATATAGAAATATTTGACTTATCCGGCTTTTTCTTCATTATTATGTGATTGCAAATATAGAGTGTTACAGAAGTGCAAAGTGACAAAATATTATCGAATTGCATCTCACATGTGATAATATTAAGTGCGCATTTTCAAAATCCAAAATTGCACATAGCAGCATTTTTTTTTACGTTACATATTAGCACTACATTTAATCGGATCTATTTTTATTTGTATTTTATCAGTAATTTGGGGGAAACAGAAGTTTAGCACTGGCAAATATAAATGCCTTCCTATTCAGCATTACTTAGTTAGAATTCTATAATTCATGAGGGTGACTGAAATAGCTTTATCTGACTTTTATGTTTTATTATGACTCTCACTGCATTTGAAACTAGAGGGGAGGGGGTTTTCGTGATGGTAGTCATACGAGTTCACTTTCGGGATTTAAAAATCTAACTCTGTCAGTGCTGAAAAACAAAACAAACATCTCCCGCCCCACCTCCTTCATAACCCGGTGCAAGGTTCGGGGACACATTCTTATTAAGTTAACATATGCCACTTCATCAATTTATCTTCACACAGCTTGAGATCACCAGAAAAAAAAATCATTCTGAGCTGAGGCTGGGTGATGTACAATCTTGTTTCCTGAGAAACGCAAACACCCAGTTCAACTTTTTAACGTGTTACATTTTAATGGAAATACAGATGGAACAAAGCAATGTTCACAATGAGACATTTCACCTGGAGCTGAAGGTTACCTTTGCAACCAAGAGTGTTATCATTTCTTTAACAGTTTCTTCAATTAGTTCATCTATTTTTGAGTGGTATTGGTGCTAAAGAACACAGAAAGACAAATATTAGCATGTTTGGGAGGTGAGGGGAGCACCACATTTGTCAGTAAGTTTTAGACAACACAATTTAGAAATTCCAGCTGGCCCATAGACCCAGTATATTTCCTTAGTCCCAGAAGCAGCGAAAGGATTCTGACTGCAGGTCTTTGATGGTGAGAGATCTGCAGCTTTGTGTGTGTGTGTGTGTGTGTGTGTGTGTGTGTGTCAGTCTCCTTGTTCTTTACCCAAAGCTTTCCATAGCTTTGATATGTGAAGTCACACGCACGTATTTATAAATCACATGCATGATGGCTAGCAGTGTGTTGGTCTGAGGATCACAGAGCAAAAGACCAAAATAATTTCATACAGGAAACCAACAATTGTATTTGTGAAACTACTGGGGTGGGGTCTGTGTTTAGGGTAGTAGGATTCTTCTAAAAGGGAATTTAACTGAGACACTGAATGATTGTGCCCCCCCAAAAACAAAAACAAAACCCAAAACAAAACCCAATTCTGGAACCTTCAGGTACTTTGGGTAATGCCCCAGAGCTCCCAATTCCGGCTCCAGGTTGTGACTCAGTGCCGTGTCAAGCCTGTCCCATTGTCTCCATTTGCCGATGAGCAAACCCCATCCTGGAACTTTTACTGAGACTGTTGCTAAGTTTTTCCACTTCTCTAACCGGTATTGTTGATTTAATTTAAATAATAATGTGGAAACAAACCCCTACACAGACAGAAATCTGCTGTGAATGCCAACGGGGAAAAATTAAAACTAAAGCAATTTCAACAGAAAGTGTTATATGCCAGCTCCTTGGCATTTATTAGATCATTTTAATACCCACTTGAACTTTTCTGCATTTCCTTAAGGAACAAAAATAACAATGCAAAACATTGCTATTTGGAAAGGAGAGTGCACTTACCCACTCTTGAACAAACTTTCAAATGGATGATTAATTAGGAACAGAAAGAAAAATAAAGGAATATGCAGATAAAGATTAGGACAAAAGGACACATGGAAAAATAAAAATCTAACAAGCCATCCAAAAACAACCATAAAGAATAAGCAAGAGTAAATGTGGTTTCATATTCTGATAACTGGCAATTTAGAGTGACTTATTTCGAGTGATTCCAGGGATGTTAGTTAGGTTAATTCACTTACAGTCTCAGGGTGCTTTTGTTTGTAATGAGAAGACCTGGATAGAGTCCCAGGGCAAAGATGAGTAGTTGCATTGGCTAAGAAAATGTAGCTCAGTTTCCCTGTCTGTAACAGGGAACAAACTCATGATAAGACTACCCCCGAGTACCAATGAGAGGACGGGATAAGGGGAACACTATGTAAAGATTTTGAGCCCATATATTATTTTATTATTATTAGGTCCTTACTTGGTTGTCCTGGCTTCAGTCTCAGATTTATTTTGAGGGTCTAAATGTGAAAATGCTTTGTCAGCTATAATTGTGAATCAAATACAATGATTTGTTCACATCCATCAAGTAGAAGACCAGAATAGGGTGAGATGGTCTTATTACTTAGGCATCTCATCTCATTTCAGTGGATTCGAGGCAAATCAATACAGCTAGTGGCCCAGGTGGTATAACCTACAGCTGTCACATCAGTTTGACTCATAACTGCATTACAGGTCAGAGTAGAGCTCCAAGTAGCGTTTCCAAGGCTGCAATTTCGTCAACAGTTTCATTGGCATATAATTCACATATCATACAATTCAATAGTCCAATCCCATCAAGAAGAGTGTCAAAATCACCACCACAATCAGTGTCAGTAGGACTGCAATTTTTAAGGAAACAGACTACTATCTCTTTCTCCTACAGAATGGCTAGTGGGGCAAACCACCAACCTTTTGGTAAGTACCTGAGTGCTTTACCCATCACACCACCAGTACTTCCTTTGCGTTGTACGGCCCTGATGGGTCAGAACCCACATGGGCTATACTACTAGCTTTCACAAAGGATTTCCTGGTAGGTGGGATAAAACTGGAACTGAATGCAAAAAAACAATTATAGAATTCTGTTCTAGAAATACAAAGAAAGATTTATAAACAAAAAAGAATTCAGGAATATTGATTGACAGGGATCCAAATTCATTTTTAGGTCTTGAGCTAAGAACCAGCATCACATGCTTAATTTCCCTCCTCATGTGACTGCCTTGCTCTGCTAGGTTTTCTTTGCGTTGCTTTGTATGATTCACGTTTATTAAATTATGGGATTTAACTAAATCAGAAAGCTAGCTGGGTACAAAATAATATAAGATGAAATATTAAGCATAGGATTTTTTGGTGCAAATATAGACTATTACACACCATATAAACAGGTTCTACATACACAACTCAGTAACATCGATTACATTTTATGAATTGCACAACTATTCTCCCCTTTTGGCTCCAAATTATTCTGCCACCATTGGCTTAAGTTCACTGCCCTTTAAGCTTCTATGTTGTCAAACTGATCTCCCATAGATGATTGTTTAAAAGAGCACAAGGCTCAAGGCAGACATATTTATTAGGATAAACTATTTTGTGGTTCAAAGAAGACTTCAAGGGATAGTTTTGTTTTAAGGCTTAAAGCTTAAAGATCATCTCAGAGAAATAGTTTTTTGGGGGGCGTGGGGGGCTTCATCCAATCTCAATGGCCTAGATTGCTTTGAGAACTTGAAATTCTGTTCTACATTCTTCCCCACTTTGATCAGGATTCTTCTATAGAATCTTTGGTCAAAACCATCAGTGATGGTAGCCAGGCTAAGAAGAACACCATTGAAAATGGTAACATTCTCCTGGAAAACTTGGCTGAAAGAGGGTCAAGAGCAATTGTCCTCCACACACCAGAAAAGCTTGTGGGACTTAGTCTGAAGAGTTGATGAGCTCTGAACTACTTTCATTCTTTACGTAGAATACAATTCCAAGTATGTGATGATGCAGGGATTTGTAGAAACATCTTCTCATCTTCAACCTTTTCATGCCACACGTGGCTGTAGTGTCTCTCCAAACTGCAACCAAACCAGCCCACCACCTTCAAGTCAATTCCAACTCACAGCAATGCTTTAGGAGAGAGTAGAACTGCCCTTTTGGATGCTAAGGCTGTGATTCCTCACCGGAGCCAACCTTCTTAGCTCTCTGCTGTGGAGCAGCTGGTGCTTTTCGCAGCCAAAAGCTTAACTCATTGTGCCATCAGGGCTCCTTGATTTCTCTCTCAGTAGTTCCACTTTCTTCCTGTGCAAATACTATTATCTCCCCACTCCGACTCCTCTCTCTTTCTTTTCCTACTTGTGAAAACAAATAATTTTGATATGATTAATCTACTTCTTACTCACAGAAGAACCTTGGGAAGACAGTCTCTGTTGGTCTGATTCCTCTTCTCTGCAATGGGGCTAGAATTATCCTTGTTGGGAATATAGACATGATATTAAGCTAACAGAGTAATAAAACAATGCATGCAGACTTGTTTTAAAAATTTAGAAGTGCTATCTGTCAATAAAAGGAGTCCAAATGGCTTAGTGGATTAAGTGTTGGGCTGCTAACCATAAGGGCATTGATTGGAACCCACAATTACGCTGTAGGAGAAAGATGAAGTAGACTGCTCCTGTCACAATTTACCATCTCAGGAATGTACAGGGGCAGGTCTGCTCTGCTCTCTAGGCCACTATGAGTCAGAATCAACCGCATGGCAGTGGGTATGGCCATCAATTAATAATTGATTGTGGTGGTGGTTACATGTATGTAACCTATGTAAACTAATTTAAAATCTATATATTTTATTGTATGCAAAGTATACTTAAAACCTACTTGGGGTAAGATGGAAGGGTGGGGTACTGACTACTCTGCTTATCACATAGCAAAGAGGTTACTTTGAGTAGCTCCCATTCCTGTTCAAATAACTACCAAATAAATACACCCCCTTTGCCTGGTTCTCGTTTTATGAGGGGTTACCCCCCCAAAAAAACCCGAATTGCATTGGGCAGAGCAGAACTTTCACAGCATGCATTCTCTCCACTGAGTGAGCATCAGGCAACTTGCTGAGTTAGTGCACGCAGTGGCGTCACCTGGGAAGGTTCTCTCTGGTCACAGTGTATTTTTTGGTAAAAGCACTTTCGCTTGAACCTTGTTTTTTGTGATGGCCATTTTAAGAGAACAGTGTGTGACTATGAAATTTTGTTTCCTGCTTGGGAAAAGTTCCGCAGAAATGGTTGTGATGTTGAACACAGCTTACAAGGACAGCGCTATGGGAGAAACTCAAGTGTAAGAGTGGTTTTCTCATTTCAAAAAGGTGAAATGTTGATTGATGACAAACCTTGTTCTGGATGTCGGTCAACTTCTCAAATGGATGAAAACTGTGGATTCATAGTCCAATTTGGAGTTCATTCCACCAGGTCAGACTGTTAATCAAGCTTACTATTTAGAGGTTCTGAAAAGATGGTGTAACAGTGTGTGGCAAAAAAAAAGGCCTGATTTGTGGCAGGCAGGGGACTGATTTTGACACCATGACCATGCACCTGCTCACACTGCCATCTCAGTGTGCCAGTTTTGGGCAAAAAACAGTATGCCTCTCTTGCCCCATCCACCTTCCTCACCTGACCTTGCTGTGTGTGATTTCTTTTTGTTTCTGTGAATGAAGAGAGACGTGAAAGGGCAGCAATTTGACAATGTCGAAGAGGTGAAGAAAAAAACAAAACAAAACGAGGGAGGTACTGTCAGCCATCCAAACATGCGTTTGAAAAATATTTCCGAGAATGGAATCGCAGATTTGACAAATCTATTAAGTGTAATGGAGAGTACTTTGAAGGCGATAAGATTGTTTTGTTAAAAAAAATTTTAAATACATAGCTTCAGGAAGAAAAGAAAATTCCATTGCTTGGGGGAGTCCTCCCTTGTATAGTACTTATGTGATTAAATTGCTCTTTTTGAGCAGTAGTTAGTCTTACACCTTCACACTTGGGTCTTCCTTTCTTATTCTCTGCAGATGTGCAGCTCCATCACAGGGGTATAAACACCGGTGAAGCATCTTTAAATGACCACTCCCCTCCAATTATTGTGTCATGAAATATCTTGCAGTTGGATCAGCTACCCCATTTCAGCTGGATCCTAGTTAGTGTGCAAAAAGGAGCCCTTTCATTTTCCCATTTTCTAGTATCTCATGCTGACCGCAAGGGAGTCACTTGACCTACATCCCCAAATCACACTCTGGGGCCTAGACCAGGGAAGGCAGCAAGGGAACTAACTGCCAATGTTCAATGTAATGAGAAGTTGAGAGAGCTGGCTTTTGCTTCTGATGAGCTGAGTTGCTGCAGATTCACAATCACTGTGGGGAAAATCACTCCTCCTGACTTCCTGTGCTGCACATTTTGCCTTGTCATGGAACAGATTGTGTGGATGTTGTCTTTCTGTTAAGACCATCTGACCTTGGAAATGAGATGAAAACACACTAGACCAAGTGAGAAACTATTTAATACACACATTTCTTCCTCTATTGGTGCCTCACAAATTTTAATGAAATAAAAACTTAAGATGGACAAATATGACTAACAAATGTTTCATCAGCTGCCTTTAGATGAGACTTGACCCTGATGCTGAAACCCAGGAAGTGAACTTAAAACAAGAGAATATTGTATCACCTGGCCAGTAGCTCCTGGAAAACAGGTGGAAGGCATGGGAATTCAGGCAGAGGCAGGTCTTGGTAGCTAGATTTTTAATATGGACTTCACAATCCAATACTCACAAAGTGCAAGCTACATGCAAACACCTGACTTCCCTCTAGTCTGCTCTCTGTTTGGGGATGTTTCCAGACATCCCAACAGTTTTACGGAGTCTCTCCATTCTTCAAAGTGAGGAGTGATCTCCAAAGTAAGAAAGTCAAAGAGGACTCACTTAACTGTGGCTTACCCTTGAAGTTCTACCCAAGGTCAGAGCCACTGACTGGGTGGCCTCTCAGAGGAACTATCTACTGATAGACGGTGATGTCTGGCTTCATTCTGACTTTTCTCAGCTATTTGTCATTCTGAGGTCAGAAGAGGCCTCACTTTGGATGCCTGGTCTCTTAGATGTCTCCAGTTCAATCACATTAAAGAGTAAGGCAGGTCTTCCCAAGTTAACTTGGAAAATCCAATAGCTTTAGCATCAAAGTGGAATGTAGTGGTGGACAGGCCCTCAATCAAGCTCACTTTATCTGGGGTGTACGCACAATTTCAGCAAAAGCAGAAAATGTTTACAAACCTCAGTTATTGCTTCTCCTTGGGAAAAAAAATCCCTCTGACTGCCATGGGGGAAATATATATAGCCTTCTCTACTTCATCAAAGAGAATGATATTCAGAAAGAAGTAGATACTGCTGTTCTGCCTAAAAAAAGTTACGATTAGGGGACACCGAAATGTTCTATTCTCACATCTAGAAATTAGGGTGTCATACCCTCAATTTCAACTAGCTGCATTCAACCCAAAAATTGTGTGTCACAAGCTAAATCCCTCATTTCTCAAAGTATGGCAGTAAGGCCGCAGGAGTACGGAGCTTGCTCAAGATCACAGTCAGACAACTAAGGTGTGGGGTCCATAAGCTGGCCAGGCCACCAGTCCATGCGTTTTTCTAGAAAATCAGACACCAGCGTGAAGTCAAGTTCATTCTATCCCAGCACAGGAGTAGTATCACTGAGAGACAGGACCTGCTGTGGTACAAGTCAGCTTGCGATTTCTCATCATGTAGCTTCACGTAGAGCCCATGGCTGTGCCTAACGGGTCCAGGGATCCTCTGAAATTAGTCAACTTGTGTGAAAGTATTTTTTTTTTTTGGTGGAGGGGGGTGGAGAATGGCTCTGTGACTTTCATCACATTCTCAGTGGGATCTTGAGAACCACCTCCTCTTCCCACTACTTTCCTCAAGCCCTCAGCTCAGCTTGAAAAGGGGGAAAAAAAGCATCAGATTGACTTGGCTGGTTTGAAAGAATTACTCAGCTGCCTGCACAGGAATGTGGCCGCTCTGTAAATATGGCCACAATTCAATCAATCTGGATAGGGATGGGAAGGACAGCTGAGGAGGAAAAGGAGCCAGCTCTATGGCATCCACCCCTCCTCACTCTGGAGTGAAGTTATCCGAGAAACCAAGCTAACCTGGGCATCTCACGGAGCTCCCAGGCCAAAGACTCCGTTGGACTGAGAGCACAACTGGACTTCAGAGGGCAGCATTAAGAAAGCGACAACCTTCAATAAGCACATGAGACAATGCTCAACATCCCTGCCAATCAAAGCCATAATGAGATACACTTCACACACTCATGGTTAGAGTGTCCGTAATAAAAAACTAGCACAAAAGACCGACACCAACAAACGTTGGGGATATACATTGGAACCCTGATATGTTGCTGGTGTACATTTAAAGTGATGCAACTGTTTTAGGAAAACAGCGTGAAGTTGCTAAAAAAACACTGTGACCACGTGATGCAGCAATTCCACTTCTGGTCATTGAAAACCGAGCCCCCCCTAACAAGTCGTACCTGAATGTTCATAGGGGCAATATTCCTAATAGCCAAAGGAAGAACATAACCCAAATGTCCATCCGCATGTGAATTAATGAACAAAACATGGTCTAGCCAGACAATGAAATAGTTAAAAGAAAAACCCGATATAGATGTCAGTGAGGATCACCCTTGTGAAATTATGCTAAGTGAAATACAGACAGATTCTAAGACAACATATTAAGATTGCATTTATATGAACTGTCTAGAATAGGCATGTACCGAGAGACTCAAAGTAGATCCCTAGTAGTGGTTGGGTGGGGCTGGTAGAGGGTAGGAGATGTTAAGGTGCTCGGAAGTTTATGGCTGTACAACTTTGTAAATGCATGTGTGTTATCTCACAGTGTATGTGAATTATATTCAACAGCAACAACAAATGAGAAGCCCCAAGGGGAGAAACATCCAGAAGAGACAAGATTCTGGAAAGTTTGAGCTCAAAGAGGTCTTAATGAAGTTCAGAGTCCACCAAAAGCAGGGGTTTTAAAGTGGGTGCTCTGAGGCCCCAGGGAGCTTGGGTCAGTGGTGGCCATTGGTCAGTGGCAGTTTGACCTAAGGTGCTCTTCCTCAACCCCCTGTTCCCCATGTCACTCTGAGAAGCCCTCCTTTAGTTGTTGCACATGTTGGCCTTCTGAAACTACACCTAGTCTAAATAAAAGTAGAATAGTACTATTGCTTTACAGATGAGGAAACCGAGCTTCAAAGTGGCTGAATGAAAGACATGTTCAATCCCAATCTGCAGCACAGCCAGGGCAAAAATTCATGTGTCTGGACACCCAATCCAGGCCTTCTTTTAAGGGGTTGTTCTCCTCATTCTGCCACCATCAGTGAGTTCCTAAGAAGGGCCCATGGTGATACAGTGGGTTAAGCAGGGGATTGCTAACTGAACGGCAGAGGGTTCCAATCTACCAGCCACTCCACAGTAGGAAGATGGAGCAGGCTGCTCCCGGAAAGATTCGCTGCCTTGGTACCCTTATGGGGACGTTCTACTCTGTCCTAGAGGGTCACTGTGAATTGGATGGGACACAACAGCAGCAGGTGACTTTCAAAGTGTGGTCCCTGGATCAGCATCACTAGGGAACTTGTCAGAAATGCAAATTCTCAGGGCACAGGCCAGATCTACAGGAAACGCTTGTGGTGGAGCCCGGCAACCTGTTCCAAAGAGCCCTCTGGACAGGTCTGGTGGACACTGCAATTTGAGGACCTCTGCTCTGGTCACTCAAGTGCAGCAAATGGGTTTAGAAAAGAGAAGCCAGGAGCTCCTTGTATTGGATTCAGGGTCCTAGAATGTCACCCCTCCATGATCCCCACCCCAAACTTGGGAGGCCCAGGGGGCGGGGGATCAATCAGGAGCAGAAGCTGCCTGGGGGTGGCTGAGGAAACAAGGTTGGGAAGGGTTTTGCCAGGAAGAGAATACCACCAACCCACATTTAAAACTGGAAGGTGCCGAGAGAGAAAATAAATAGCGAATAAGGAGCAAATATAATTTAGTAAAAAATCCGAGCATGTAAGACTGGTATCGAAAGATCTGATTTAGGAGCAATTTATGCCAATTGGCAACAACATGAGAGTTGCCAGAAATGTTTCTGAATTAATTCTAAATTGGTATATGAATCTCGAGCTGGCTTAAGGCCACCAGAGAAAAATGATCATGATAGTCTTTAATCATGCCCAAGTTGCTTTTTCCTGCTTTACATTTTAAATACCGCCTTGGAATTGGAAACTTCACAAGGGACTAAACTTTTGGTCAGGGAAGTTTCACAGTCAACTCCCTCTAATGAAAATGAAAAAGGCTTGTGGAAATGGTTTTCGGAAATCCAGAACCTGCTCCCTGGCTTCTGCAGCAGGGTGATCGAGCATGCTAGGTGGTGGGAGGTGCCCTGTGCAGGAAAAAAGATGTCCTGTGTCCCAGACGTTCCGCGTGTGAAACGCACCTCAAGTGTGCAAGGAACGTGGCTCCGGGCGAACACAGATCTGTTAGCGATAACAGCCTCAGAAGAGAGGTCACGACACACGATTGGCTTAAAGGAGCTTAGCAGTCACCCCAGCTGGGGCCAAGCAGTACTTCCGGGTCAATGGCATGCTCATCAGCAAATAAATAGCTTTGACACACAGATACCACACCCTCATCTGCGGACTATATATGCGTCTTAATCCACAAACGTTAAAGTACATTTCTGAACCGAGTAGATGGAAGGAATTTGTGAAGATAATCTTTTACATGATCACCGGAAAGGGAAAAAATATATCTGGTTTTTTTTTTTTTTTTTTTTTACCTCTTGGCCCATTTCCATACTGCAAAGTTTTGTTGATTGAGCTTTGGCATCAACCATAACATTAAACATGGTGCATATTGACTGTGGGACCCGGAAATCTGTTGATCGACTGGTTTTTTGCAGCTTCACTTCAAATGCAATCCTGGTTCTATTAAAACAAAGTAGGAAAAGACCAATTCAGCATTCAGATGGCAGCAGGTGGAGCAGACATTTTCCGAGAGGTCAGGGAAAAAGGAAAACCGAGGGCTGTAATCAGTGTCAGCCGACAATGACTTCACATGTGTCCTCTTTATAATGACTTTCCCAACCTAGGCAGGCCTATTCATGGAGCTGGCCATGGAGACCTCCCTCTCTCGGCAGTGCACGGGACACCTGTAGCTCCATGTATTTCTGCCTATAGTTTACAGGCTATGGAGAACCATAATTGCAGGAGAATGAATGAATGGAAAAAACCCGATTACATTATAGCGCTTGCACGTTCTCTCACGTTGGCAACTGCCTACCTCGAATCACTTCCTTGGGGGGAGGGGAGAAAAAAGCGGCTTCTAATCTTCAAAACCTCATGGTAGGGTGAAAAAGCTTAAGTGACATTTATTATTTTTGGTCTTTCCAGTTTAAAAAGAGATGGAGGAGGGAGGGAAGAGCCATATTAGGGAATTTTCATAAATCCTCCCCCCAATGCCAATATATTATTTTGCAAGAAGAATATGATAGTTTCATAATGTATCATTTTATAGAATTTTTAGAACATTTACATAATGTTGAAAATACTCTAAGATTTTAAAATACTTAATAATATAATAATATGGATTAAAATGCCATATATACTTACCAATGGGAGGACTGTGTAAGGGTGGTGCCCTAACATTATTCTGACAGTACTAGTACCAGTAACTTGCTGCCCGGTCACCTTGATTCTGACTCAGGGCGGTCCCATGAGCACACCAGAGGAGAACTGAGCTCCCTGGACTTTCAGTGGCCGGTGTTTTAGAGGTAGATTGCCAGCCCTGTCTTCCAAGGCACCTCTGAGTAGACTTGAACTTCTAACCTTTCCATTAGCAGCTGAGCATATTAGCAGTTTACACCACCCAGGGGACTCCAATGCTGACATCGTCAGGTTAAAGTATGCCACCAACTGTGTGCTAACCATGTACAGGAACAACCTAGCCTGACATGGCCAGCTGGTAAGACAGGTGCAGAGTCCTCTATATCCGCTTTGGCCATGGGCCCGTGACTCTTAAATGCTTTCAGAGAAGTGGGTCACATCATCACTCGTCTTTTAAAGAAATGCTCCCTTGTTAGTAAATGGCTGTATTAAAGCCTCCTTTGGTCCAATGCATCTTTTCTTTTTTAAGCAAAAGGGAAGAAATTTATTGGGAGCCCATACGGGAAACCCTAGAGGGGCCCAGCATCCCCTACTGTGTAGGCATGCCCAGCAAAGGGTCACACCATTCACTGTACCCCCATGTCCCAGAGGGACTCCCCTTGAGCCAAGCCTCAAAGCCCCAGGACTGGCTGGGGATGGCAATGCATCTTGTCAACAGTGTTGGCTGTCAGGCTCTGGAGATCACACAACCACCAGGAAGGCATCTGCTTAAAGAGGTATTCATCGTTTTCTAATAGTGTTTAGGGGAGCACATGGCTCGTTAGCTCAGGAAAGGATACCAGCTTAAAAACACACCCTGGGTGTAGGCAAGGGAACCAAATATAATTTCTAAGGTTGGAAGTCTACTTCTTAAGGAAAGGGTGAATAAAACACGTGAACAACCCCCCCCCTTAAACACCTTGTATATTATACGATCATGAAAGATAAATGTATCTTGGCATCTAAAGGCTCAATGCACTTGAAGTAACTTCCACTCATGATGATCATGGTAAGCCACCATGAAAACTCTCCATTATCTGGTGTCATGAAAAGGCAGCGTGAAGGGGATTGGGCTGGAGAGGTCCCTGGGCGGGTCCTCGGAAGCTGGGGTGCCAGTTCTGGCCCTGTGTGAGAAAGGGGGAGCTTAGGCACGTTGCTCCCTCACAATGAAATCACCGTCTTCTGCTTTCAAGGGAGAGCTGTCCACAGCCCTTGGAGAGGAGAAGCTGAGTGCAAACGAATGTGACGGAGAGGGCTGGCGTGCACGGACTTTTTCTTGATGGGATCAAAAGACAGGCGTGGAGAGGCCACTTAAAACCAACTCTCCTTAGGGCAGAATCAGGGTGCCTGGCTTTCTCCAGAACTGTACCTGATACCCACTAGACTGGAGGCTCTGCATTGTCTATGAACTGAATGGTGGAATTCAACAAGGAGACACACCTTTCTAATTTTCCAGCGATGGATATTTATAGCTAAGGAACAATACCTTACTAAGTTGTCTTTCTAGAATAAGGTTAGTTATTCTGCCCCAAAGAGGAAAGACAGCACAGGATGCAGGCTCTCCTAGGCCTGATGTCAAGTCTATGTCCTAGAATAAGCAAGGGCACCTTCACATTCTTCTCTGAGTCCAGGGCTGATATTTCCATCCATTTTTGCTTTGTGCTCGTGTTTAGGACTTGAATCGAAAGAGACATCAGGAAATTTAAGTCTCCATGGTCAGCTAGAGGAATACATGTGCATCTGACCAACTTCTGTCAATTAAAATTTGCACCAACAGTGGCTAAATGCAGAGTGTAGGGGCCTGGGAAGAGCAAAGGTCACAGAAGTGAACACGCTTTCCCCCCTGCCTCTGTGTGCCTCACACTCGGTAATCCTAACACTACGATTGCCATGTGGTAAGGGATAAAAGAGAGGCACTGTAAACTTTGGCATCTGAGTATCACCTAATTTCTTAGTCTCGGCAGGCTGGCTTCTCTGAGGACAGAAATGTCTCACTGTGCAAATGTGAGTATGTGCATCTGATCCGAAGCGGTGCACAGATAAATCTTCATTTTAATGCCTATCAGCCAGCCCTTAGAACCCATCAGGGGAGAACTTTTTGTCATAAGGAGTCATCCTCTAACAAGGTTTTTTCCTTCTTTGTTTTACAAGCATTTAAACAAACAAAAACCAAGAGTTGCATTTTGTGAAGCTGGTGTGGTTTGTGCTCAGGGTTGCCCTGAGTCCGAATTCACTTGAGAGTGACTGCGTTGATTTGAGAGGGTGGAATTCGGAACTCTCGGGAAATCTTTCTTTTGGCCTCGGGGTTGTAAAGCAGTCCTGCCTTTAGTTCCGAAAAGGGGCAGAAGGTGGTAAAACCCCAGGATTGTAAAACCACAGTCTGGATCCCCAGCCTGTGATGCCTCCAGAAGCGCCACTAAAGGCCTGCCCAGACTCTCCAAGGGCACCGGGTTCCTTCCCCAGCTCCTGCTGCGCCGCGCACCTACCTGGCCTCAGGTTGTTCGTTTGTCTTTTGAGTTCCCAGTTCTGATGCTCTTACTTCTCTTTTCTTCCTCCAAGATATAAAATGATGAATTCCGAGAACTCCCAGCCAAACCCAATCCCCAATCACCTGCAACCGATCCATCAACTAAACTACACAACATCTGGAGCGGCCTGAGCTGCTCGTGGTCTTTTTTTGAATGAGAAAAATAATGAAACCATTATGCACTGGAAAAGGAACTTGGATGTGTGTCTGGGGATAGCGGTGTGATGCTGCTGCTGTTAAATCAGTGGAGTTTCAGTTATGTTTCTTATAAACAGATAGAGATACTCCAGGAGGGAAGGGAGACAGAGGGCCTTCCAGCCTCCATTGTAAGCCAAGAACCGAGCCCCCTGGCACATAGGAGGTGCGCAATTATGGTTGAATGTATGTACATTGTCCCTGTTTTCTTCTGTGAATCTTCTCAGAACTATCTGGCCGGGCGCTTCAGGTACAGTACTCCCACCTCAGTATGGTTCCTCGCAGTGACAGAACTGTGGAATGCCACATTGCCTCTTCAATAGCACCTATCCGCTCATCCGTGCGTAGTTTGGTTTGGGGCCGGAGTGGGCGCCACCCTCACATGCAGAGGCTGGATGCTGCTGCTGAGGTCCCGTCCGCATTGCCAGGAAATCATTGGACCCTGGCTCACCTGCACTGCCTACGCTAGCTCCGGAATTGCAGTTTCTTCTCTTTCTTGCATGAAATGCCCCAGGCTTACATGTCACACACCTTCAGTGAGCGAACCTTTTGTGGCAAACATTGGTAGATAGGGGACTACAGAGATGAACAAGAGTGGATGGGGATCCTTTCCTAGTGGGCCCAACAACCACTGAAAACTGTGTGGTCAGACAGCTTGGGGTTGGAGCAGGGTTAGGGCAGGTGCATGGAGCCTAGGCGTGGGCCGTCCACACGCCAGCTGACTTTGATGAGCTATGAACTTCTCAACAAAATTCCCACTTAAGGTCCCAGTCCGGTGTCCGGTGGCAAAGGCATGCAGAACCTGCCCGGCCACCGCGGCTTACCTTTTGACACACGATTCGATCATGTCACTTGCCATCAGCTTTAGTCGCTGCTCCAGGTGCTTTCCAAATTCTTCTTCGGGCCAATGCAAGTCCCTAATGAAGGTCTGAAGGGCATCGAGCTTCCAGAACAGGTCTTCCGAGGTGCCTGATCCATTACTGACAGGACAAAGATCGGAAGACAACCGTCACCTGTGGGCCCCGAGCTCTGGTAAAGCTGACACGAAGACAACTGGGGCTAGAAGGCTTATGGCAAACAGTGGCTTCCACATACAGGGCGACGGGTGTTGGCGTCAGAGGCGGGGGCAGTCTCCACCGGCAGATTGTGAGTTTTACCATACAGTCTACTTTGTTCGGCCAATGATTCCAGACCAGCGAGGGACGTCTGAAGGAGGCATTGCCTCCTGACAAGAAGGAGAACCGTGTATGGTAAAACTCAGCCTTCTTTTAATAACCACATTAACGCATGTGATGATTCAGATGAAGGCCACGAACCGGGGGGAGAGAGAAGTTTCAACAGCTAATAACTACATGGCAACATGCAGTTATTAAAACTCGGGGTTTCATGCACATCTCCAGCACCCCTCCAGTGCGGAGGCCTCTGAGAGATTGCAAAAGACTTCCCGCTCCCAAAGGACAGTGCTAACAAAGTGGTGAGCGAGGAGCTGCTCTCTCTCTTGAAGAGCCGGAAAGAAACTGGGGTGACTCAGCTCAAGACGTGTACACCTGGGTGCCTCGAGGCCGAGGTTCCTTCTTGTTTGGTTTGGTTGTTATCCCAATTTCCATAGAGCGGCCCATGGCTTAGGCAGCGCCAGGATGCAGTGAGTCGGTGGGGGGAGGTGGATGGATAAGGGGTACCTGCAATGCTTTAGGGCTCCAAGCCAGAGCTCTTTTACCATTGCACCATCTTACCCACTCCTGTGTACGGATGGAGCCATCGGTCTTGATTCCTCTCTGTACAACGACATCTAGGAACCGTTTACCTGGGGCGCCCACGGAAAGCCTGTGCTCAGGAAATGCTCCATCTCTCCCCCTCTTGCCCCTCTCTTGGCCAGCTCTCTCTTTTGTAACAATCCCATTTGGAGCTCAGGGGGGTGGCTGCCGCCCCCCACCCCCTTCCTCGCATACCACCAATGCTAACACGGTAATTTATAAAATGTCCAACACACCATGCATTACCACTTGTTCTGACATCGTCTATAGAAACAGATGAGAGTGGGTGTTTCTATTGTGACAGATGCCAGCTGCATTGAATTAATGCTTCAGAGAAAAATATAGCTAGTGCATCAATGCATACACAGCTACTGCGGGGTGGGGAGGGAGCAGACTCCCAACATGCCGAGAGGGACCCTACAGCCTGGACCAACAGGGGAATGCGCTCCAGAACAGACTAGTCAGAGGTCAGTACGTGGACGTGGACGTGTCTGACACAAAGGAGTAGGTAACATGGAAACACATCCTTAAAATGAAAGGTGGCAGAGGAGGAAACGCGAAATATGAAAAGATATAGAATCAGGCATTTCCTGGTGGGTGACTGAGAATCCACGCCTTCTTCTCAGATACTGCTGTTAACGTTGCTCGAGAGTCGGGGAAACTCAGCGTCCCTCCCTCCCTGGGAAAATTCCCTGACCCCCTGACCGCCACCCACCCCCATCCTATGCTTGGGAAAAAAGAAACCCCAACTTTGTCTAACTGAAGCCCCATTTTGGAACTGCATGGTTGTATGTTTTAAATCATTAAGTACATATGAATGCAATAATTGGTATTTATTACAACAACATTTTGACACCCATCTGGTTTCAAGAGTCTCAAAAAATTCTTCTAGGTTTTTTTTTTCCTCTCTTTTCTTTGAAGAGCTTATTATTAAGTTTTGACATGAGGAAAAGAATATTTTCTTTTTATTTTTAAGATAAACTGTTAATGTTAAGGCAATAGCACCAAGATTATTTTGATTGCTGAGCAGTTACCAAAATGTGTTCCCACTCGTGCCTTACTTAATTGAACAGAGACCATTATCTGATTTAATACAATGTCTTGATTCATATCTTTTCAAAAACAATGTCACAGAGCATGCACAGAGGAAGGTAGGAAAAGCTTTCAGATATTTATTTTTAAAAATTTAACAGGTACTACCTAATCTAACTTCTAATACTGTCATCTTGGCATGAATATGATTTGTATGCTGTTATTATTATTTTCAGATATAAATTTTTTCAGGTTTAAATTTGGCTTTTAGAGAGAATCAGACACATTGGCCATACGATTTCTCTGGGAGACAGACACAGGTGGTTTGTCTTGCACACAAACGTAGGCTGCTGATAACATGGGGCAGCTTTGGAGGCGGCCACGCAGAGCCATCATTTGAATCGTCTCATGCACTATCTGGATCACTGCAAAATAAATAAATATAAAACGAAACGAAACGCCGAGGGCCCATCTTGATGGATGTGATTTTAAGATTTCAAAACATCACTGCCAGCTTCAGATCATTTTTTACTCCTTTGATAATAACACTTCCCTTTGAAAATGTGCCAATATATTCTTTCAAGAAAAAGCTTATCTGGCCTATAATTAGCTGTGGTCTAAGACAAGGATCAAAGGAGCGTATAGAATTGCTAAACCTTACTTCACTTATTAAAGCACGCACGTGGTTCTAATTTAATTTCCTGAGGTAGAATTTAGGGATGCTGGAGCGTCTTCTCGCTGAGGAAAAAAGGGGAGAGGACTTGTTT